CATGATTTTGGACAATTACTTAATTAAGCAAGTACTTGCTTCGAACGAGTCAAGTATCAAGCCGGAATTTTTGCTTGTGCCCAAGCCTATCTCTAAGAATGCATCTTTAGGTCCTATGAATAACTAATGAATTTTTTTTCATTGGACTTGTGAAATTAAAGGACTGGTTAGTTCCGTGATACTAGCTAGAGTCACATCAACGTATAAGGATCTGACTTGCCAATTAGATACTCACGAGCTCATCTTTTTCTTCTACAATTGAACTCTTTTCAGAAAAGAAAATCTGATTTTCTTTGTTCTTTAATTAACACCAAACGCACTCAACGTTAAGCTTATTTCTAAGCTTACAAAGCCAAAGTAATGGAAAGAGTTGCATTGTATCACAAGTTTAAAATACTAAAGAGGTTCATGCATGGTAGTCTTCTACCTGAATGAGTAAAACTAGGTCTGCTTCCATGACCACTGTCTCTTCCTCCACCACCAAAACTTCAACAGGTGGAACAACGGCGGAGACTGTTACAACGATAGCGATAAGACCAACGACCTCCTCTGCCTGAAGGAGGACCAGAAGGGCCACCAAAGTCACTTACCAGTGAAACCTTTTCAACTACAAGATTCCATCCTCCCAAGTAACTTCCACTAAGTTTCAACGCCTTCTCTACTCCTTCCTTTAGATGAATGTAAGCACATCCTATGACCGCACCGGTTTCATCGTCTGTTGGAACAATAACGCTTGTAATCTCTCCACATGAACTGAAATATTTACTCAATGCGCTCTTGATATCATCTTCAGGAAGAAAAAAATCAAATCCTTTAACGATGATCGTTTTTATCATCATTACCACCAATTCCGCTTTGTGCAGGTTCCTTGGCACTCGTAACAGGTTCCTTGGCACTTGTAGCAGGTTACTCATCAGAAGAAGATGATTTATCCTCAGACGAACTCCTCGGAAGATTCTTGGCAGTAGCTTTCTTGGCCTTGTCTGAGATCAAAGTCGCATGTAGATGATCTGTCTTTGTGACCAACAAATCCACCATTGATTCGATCCGAAGAAGACGATCAGACAATCCTTTGATTT